TAATATACTTTTCAACAAATCTATGTTTCAACCCTTTGTTCTCAAAATATTACATTAGCAAAATATTATATTCTCAAATAACGACAAAAATTTATATTTTATAGTGAAAAAATGAATTATCGTCTGCAGTACTTATATTTAAACAAATAAATAAAACATTTTAACTTTGAATTCTTGCCGCGTTTTTCCTAGATATTACCAATTTACCCACAAATAACGTTACGCGCTCTGATCGGGGTTTTATTTGACGTGTGATACAGACTACTAATATTGGAAAAATATATTTTTATTAATTTCAAAATATAAATAATTGTTTACTATGCAGATACCAGGTCCGGATCTGGGGGGGGGGGAGGGAGATCAAGTATGGGCTCTTGCCCCTGGCGGAGGAAGGTTACCAAATAAACCATATAGTTTCTGCCCCTGATAGAAAAATCGTAGAAAATCGTAGTTCTGGCCTGCCAGGCCTACGCTAAAATTGAAAACCATCCTGTTTTTCCAAGACATGTCCTGATTTTTAGTGTTCCAGGATCACCTGGATAGTCATAAAGCAGTGTTCCGGATTTTGCAGCGAATTCAAATTTCAATCTTAGTTTTAGAAAGTTGGGGGTGGTATGCTAAGGTATGCAAACCATCGGTAGCGTACTCCGGCACACAAGCTACTTCGTTCGCAGCTTTCAAATAACCTGACATGATGTCAAGCGATTTTCTCCATACTCCGACGATCACATTATAACTATTGTAGGTCAATCGTTACATTCTATGTAGTAAAATAAAGTGCCTAAGGCCCTATGAAATTTTATAACTTTCGTACGCGGATTCGTTTTATAAGTTTCTGATTATAAAATCAGGTATTAGGTTAAATACTTAATCGAAACAAAATAAAATTCTTAATTTTGTCATCACAAGAGGTGGTTAGCGCATTCAATCTGCGATACAGAAGTTGAGCAACTTTCGAAGGGGCCGATCATAGGAGTTGACCAAAAATTTATTGTTGAGCTGCTCCGCGCATTGGAAGGCATTTATTAAAATCCATCAATCCGCGCTTAGCCCGTGTGGTTGTATCAAAGCCCATTTTCCCTATTCGATACCAAATAGCGGGCCCAGCTGTGAGGCCATTATTAGGATGAATAATCAGATCATTACAAAAACATAATACTCTTACAAGCATATATAAATAAAAACTTTCGCGTTTGTAATATTAATTTTGATAGGATTATAAAACAATACTGAAAGTTTTTTTTTTTATTATGAGTAATAAATAAGCCGTAAACAGTTATCTATCCGAATGCCCAATCGCAAAAAAAAAGCTTGAATTTGATTAATTTCGAAATCGCAAACTAATAGTTGAATTTCTTGTAGCAGAAGCTTGCATCACCATTACATAATTTCTGAAAAAATATATTGAAATCTAGAAGACACGAGACAGTCGGTGACAGTTAAAGATAAGTGTGCTAACTGTTTCTAATGATCGTCCCGTTGGTTGCTTGCGATGATTCTTCTGACTCCATACCTTACCTATATTGTGAAGCATAACTGTGAAACAATGTCATTTTTCAACTCCAAATAGTTTTATCAGTTTACTAGCTGTGCTCGCGACTTCGCGTGGAATAGTGACCTTTAAACAGCATCTTTAATTTTTATTTAGGGTAAAACGACAACCCTATTACCTACACAGACTTCGCTGTTTGTTTATTTACCCTTTTACCTACACAGACTCATGAACCGTGAAAATAAGACAGTTGAATTTTTCACAGATAATGTATTTCTGTTGGCGCTATAATAACAAATACTAATAAATGGAATAAAATAAATATTTTTTATATTTTTGATTATAGAAACATAGGTACTCTAATCAAATACTAAATTAAATAAAACAATATAAGTACCTATCCCATATACCTACTATTGTTAAACAGCATGTAATAAAATAACTTAAACTATTTGTATGTACTTAGTCATTAACTATTATATGTCATTCAATTAAAGTGTTCCAAATAATATATTTTATTTAAAAACTACTTTATTAAATAAAACATTTATCAACTAATCATGTTTTCAAACGTGATTTATATATTTTGTGGCAAAAATTTTAGTTCATCCGGAATGTTATTATTACATATCTTTATTGACATCACATAAGATTTTCTCTCAATAGTCGGTTCTAATAAATGACAAATGTAATTTATTACGAAATATTGTGTTAAAATTACAAATATCTTTTTGTTACATACAGTTCCAAGTCAAATAAACAAACACACCAGTTTTAAAAACACAGTAGGGTCATCTAGCGAAAACATCTTGTTGTAGAATTTTATTATTACCGGAGCTTAAAATTCGCCATTAAATAATATTATTGAAAATATCGGAAATTTAAAAACAAAGCTACTTTGTTTGATAAATATAAAGACTACAAACATATCAAAAATCAAAATCCCGTTTTAAAAGTACAGTAGCGTCATCTAGTGCTAAGTAGAGGCAGCCAAATGTAACGTTTTCGTGTACTTAACCTTTTGTAATTTATATTAAATTATTCATTTAATATTAGCGACATTTTTACCGATTAAAATTATTCAAAACATTATTTAATCCTGCGTAAACAGCTTAAATCATTTAATAATGGATTTGGAAAGCGATGACATGAAATATAATTAAAATGACAAATTGAATTGTAAACAACGGTTACTATGGTAACGATTTAATTCCCTGTACTATACGAACTTCTACGCCCATTTTCATCTAGACATATACTGCCGCGAACTTTTTTAGAACTTTTAAAGAGGATCAATTTCGGAAAATATTATTTTGGGTAACTTTGACCGTTAACGCAGCGCACACATGGAAAGCTTTAATATAGTAAAATATTCTGCCGTTTTTTTAACATTTTTCATTGCGTCATAGCGAGATGTTATATAGTCTTCCTCGATATGTGGACTAACAACACAAATAATAAATCAATTCGTTGTTGAGATTTTAGAGTTCAGTCTAACAAACAAACCCTTCAGCTTTATTATTAGTATATACATGCATTTACTTACAGGATTCTTAATAAATATTTTAATGTTTTTAAGTTAGGTTGTATCTTCTTGTAAGTTACTCAAGTTTATGAGCAAAATAAATAAATAAAATACTGGAATACTGAATTCGAAATTGGGCTGTAGCTAATTTTATTAATTAATTTGAATTTTAAGATAGCAGTTTATCTTAAAATTCAAATTATTAAAGCACTTCAAGTAATACAAAACTATTAACTTTTAACACTTTGTTTTAGACGAAAATCAACTACGGAAATTGGACATATTGTTGTAACTCGACGCGCAATGTTAACTTTAGGATAGATCAGATGTGACGGGTGGTAGACTAAAATATCTGGGCTGAAATTTAAAAAAATCAGGATTTTGGGATATACTTGTAGATTTTTCTGCGGACCGGGGGTAGTGTGCACTATTTAGCCGACGCCGAGCTACTGATTGATTCAAAGATTTCATTAAATATTTTGTCGAGACATTTCTTTTTTCTTGTTACATAATCTACACATCATCTAAAATAACAGAACAATACAGACGATTCCCTAATATTTAGCTACCTTGAAGAGTATTTAACTAAAGTGTTATTAACCGCTTGAATCATAATCGGTAAATTATTTTTTAACTTATCTTAATGCCTAGTCTTTTAAGTGATTTTCATCATCATCATCAATTCAGCCGAGAGACGCACACATGGGCATAGGCCTCCCCCAAAGATCTCCAAAACGATCGGTCCTGCGCCTCCCGCATCCAGTATGATTGTATTTTAGTGATTTTGATGGTATTTTATTCATCTATTAACATTTATGTCTAATGGGTTAAAATATTTAATACTAATTTCCGTTCTTTTCTATTTATACACCTAGTGGTCAGGCGAGAAACTTATCTTTATATCTGACTTCAGTAATTATATGCACGTAATTATAGAAATAGCTATTATTGTCAGATTATTTTAAAGTGTCACCTATATTAAAATTTTAGCTATCAAAGATGTAGATTAGCAACCTTTATCAGAAGAAGAGGAAATACAGTTGTTTTTTTTCTGAATATTAAATTAATGCTGCCAATGTTCTTCCTAACATTATTTTATTGCTCATCGTTAAAAACGGCAGCGATTATAATATTAACACATACCCATTATGATAATCAAATTCAGATTTCAAATCTTTCCATTTACGTTTTGAAAAAAATAGATTGCATTGAGGTAACATACTTACATACATTTATTACATAATATTATAAATATATAACATAAGGAAATTATATATAAATAACATAACAATGTTGATCAACTTCATAATCATAAATGCTTATTTTCATGCTCAGACAAACTAGAACGCGATTCGGCGTGGCTATTTCGTGTTGAAGAGAAGTTTAAAAAGTATTTATTTATTTATTTAGAATTATATTGTAGTATCTATTTTGAGGTAACTGAAGTTAACGATATCGTCACTATGACCTACATCAATAGAACCCTTGTACCCCCGAATTCCAATATTGCGCAATCACTAACAATGACGCAAGGAAATACGTTGCATGCACGCCATAAATCGCCAATAAGAACAATAGCGAATGAGTGAAAGTGCAACTTAATCACCGGACCGTTTTTCCAAGTCCATTGTTCTCTTGCAATTGTTTTCAACAGCATTGGTCCTTCACGCCACCGGATTATACTAGTTAACTCAAACAAGAGTTCATAGTGTTCATTGTAATAACTCCAATTGAGAAATAGCAGCAACAGAGTCATACTTATGCAAGTGATAAAAATTATAAATAAACTATTATATTTTTCAGGAGTCCATTAGGAGTAGATCGAATTCATAAAACACAACGCAAATTAAATGGGAACACTATTCAGCATGCTACAATGATACTCTCGGAAGAAAAGGAGGAATGGCTACCAAAATACAAAAGACGATAGTGTGCTGCATTTTCCTAGTTTCGACAGCTTTAAGCGAAAAAACAATATGCCCAATGCCAGAGGCTATTTTGCCATGTATTTGCACGAATCGGAACGAGGATGTTCAAATATGGTAAATTATATCAATAATACATGATTTTATGTTATTGAAGTATGAGAACATTGATTAATAATTTGCATTTTTATTTATTTCTAGGTGCACACACAGCGACCTAACACAAGTTATGAAAGGAGTTCAAAGTATAGGAGATTTTGTGCAGAACCCAATAGATGAACTTATAATAGAGAATAATTATCTACCATCGTTGCCGGGGAAAATGTTTCAAAATGTGAAAATACTTCGACTGATGTTGAGACACAATGGAGTAGAGCGGCTATCTTCTGCTTGGTTGGAAAATCAAGAAATAAATTTAGTAGAAATATTTATAGTAGAAAATGATCTACGAAATATACCAAGCGAAAGCCTCATGAAGTTGCAGAATTTACAAGCAATAACAATCCAATCGCAAAACTTAAAAAGATTACCTGTATTAACTAACATGCCAAAACTAAAATATATCAATATACAATCGGAGAGTTTGAATGTTATAAATGAACACACATTTGAAAATTTGCCTAATTTAGAAAGACTGTTCATTAAAGGCAGTCCAAATCTACGGATTTTAAAAGAAAATGCCTTGTATAATTTACCAAAGTTAAGAAAGTTAGAGATAACCAATTGTGGAGTTAATTTTGTGCATATGAGAGCACTATCATTACTTCCTGCATTAAGTGAACTGTCATTTAGTGACAATAAGATTTCAGATGCAACTATGATAGGAAGAGCAACCAGAGATTTACCTTTACTATTTTATTTGAATCTTAATAACAATATAATTGATAAATTAAATGAAGGTGCGTTTGTAGATCACCCTATGTTAGAAAATTTGTTATTATCAAAAAATAAAATTAACGTTATTCATCACGGAGCATTTCATAGAGTTCCAAAGTTGAGAGTTGTAGATCTAAACCATAATAAGATAACAAAAATTCACCCTGAATCATTTCTTCAACAATCAGGCAGTGGAGTGGAAGAATTGACCTTGATCGGAAATCAAATAATGTATATTTCTGAATTTAGGGCTCTGCTAGACGCTTTACCACGTTTAAGATTTCTAGACTTGAGCGAAAATTTGCTTCAAGAAATTCCAAGAGGTGCATTAAGAGGACATCCAAGTTTAGAAAGATTACATTTAAATAAAAATAACATTAAGTACATACAAGCTGATGCATTTGTTGCGATGCCCGCTCTGCGAGAACTACACTTAAAGAATAATTCTTTAAGTGAGATGTATGAAGGCCCGTTTTGGAATTTACCAGCTTTAAAAGGACTCGACTTATCATATAATTACTTTCAGCGTTTACAACCGAAAATGTTATACAATTTGCCAGCATTGCGACGAATAAATTTAAGTAATAATCAAATAACTATTATTGATCCTATCACTTTTATAGAATTACCGTTGTTAGAGTATATCAACATTTCAAGCAATGCGCTAGTTTCTATTCATCCAGCTACCTTCAGGAATTTACCAAATTTGTACGAAGTCGATGCAAGTGTAAATAAATTAATGGAGTTTATTCCCGGATTACCTAGGGGTTTGGAGCAGCTATATTTACAAAGAAATCAAATAACAAGTTTACCAGTACCTCCATCGCCTGATTTGGATTTGCCTTCTCTGAGGACTTTAGATATCTCAAGTAATGGTATTCAAAAAATTCCTCATGGATGTATGAAAACACTGCACAACTTACGTAGACTATACATGAGAAGAAATGGTCTAAGACAAATTGAACTCTCGACATTAAGTGATTTACAACGTTTGGAGATATTGGATTTGAGTGATAACCAAATACTCACTATAAATCCTAAGAGTTTTAGTAAATTGAGTCGTTTGAAAAAAATGAATTTACATGGAAATTCTATTGATAATTTTGACTTTATAGTAATACAAGAAAATCCGGCACTTGCTATGTTAGATTTTAGCAAAAATAGACTTAAGAGCATTAGTCCGAATATGGTAAAAAAAGCAATGGATGTAGAAATTTTTAACATTTCTTCTAATAGTTTAAATGAACTACCGCCAACACTAAATATGTTGCCAAAATTGAAAATACTAGATGCTAGCTTTAATAACATAAAACGATTTGACGGTAATATTATCAACAATGTCCAAACACTAAAAGAAATGAAAATGCCAAACAATAAAATCGTAGAATTACGCGCTGGAAGCTTTAAAGATATTAGAGACTTGGAGGCAGTTGACCTGGAAAATAATCAAATAGAAATCGTACATCCAAAAGCAATCGTTAATTTACCTAATCTATCAGCTATCTACTTGAGTAGAAATCGTATCGTAGATTTACCGGATGGGGTTTTTGAGAATTTACCAAAGTTGAGAATTATGGAACTGCAAGGTAACAGATTGCAATTCATATCCTCGAGGGCTTTTGAAAATATTCCGCTCGTACAATATCTAAACTTGAGCAACAATCAGCTTACGAACATTGATAACTCTGGATTGCGCCAATTAATTTCCTTAGAAGTACTCGATCTTAGTTTTAACAAACTGACCAAAATTGACTCATCGTCCTTTCAACACATGGAATGGTTAATTGAGTTAAATCTTGATAACAATTTGATATGCCACATAGGCGGAAAACCATTTGATTTTATGCCTCGATTAAAAGTTCTCTCTCTGCGTTATAACAAGTTAGCATATGTAAATGAAGGAATATTTGGGAAATTAAGAAACAACATAGCTATATTGGATATTGATGGTTAGTAAATAACTTTTTGTGAACTACTTTTAGATATAATTTTAAGTATTTTGTGCACGCAGACTTTCATGTAACTTTAAAATTTTGAATGAAAGTTTCACTTATAAACATTAATTAAAGTTTTGGTTATAATTATTTTCATATTAAAGTGTATAAATTGCATTTCAGGTAACCCCTTAGTATGCAATTGTGAGCTTATGTGGCTGAAGTCATGGTTATCAGAATCGTCATCTATCGGACCGAAATGTGCTGATGGAACTTACGTCAAAGGATTGCCATTTTCAAGAGAAGACTGTGTAAATGTAAAGGCTAATCAAGAGGACGATATAAAATTATGTATTACTCTCGAAAATGATGCATTACTACCAAGCTTGGCTACTTCACAAGTCTTCTCATCATTGGACAAAATTAAAGATTACACAGCGCAAATTAAAAATAATTATCAACTTAATAAGATACCTAATAGACCTGCACCTGAAGAGTCAGAATATTTCTATGAAGATTATGTTGATTATCCATATAACGAAACATTGGTTGATACCCTCAATAACGACATTCGGTTGTTGCAAAACAATAATAACAAATCACAACATGAAACAGTAGCTGTTCCAAATGTTAACATAGAAATTAAAAATACTACAATTATAAGTAGTAAAACTACAAACATGAAAAAGCCTGCAAGTGGCTTCACATTTTTCGGTATGCCTCTTCCCCCTTTAGATGTGGGTAAATTATTGAATAGTGGTCGTAAGGTTGACTGGTCAAATAACAAAAATTTACAACACAGTAATAAAAACTATCAAACTCCAGCACCTCCGAAATTTGAAACAGGCGGATTCGCTCCCATTCTTCCTACAACAAGTGGTGGGTTTAAGCCGATACCTAACCCAACAATGAATGTTACACATACATTAGTCATTGACAAAGGTGTCGCAAATTATTCAACAGCTGGTAATATGCAACATAGCTTATCAATAGCTGTAACAAAACCACCAGTGACAAAAGTTCATACTAATACAACACATAAAAAGATGAAAAGTGAAATTCATGAACTACAAGCATATCTCGATGATGATAATAGCACTCATGTAGCTTATAATCGAACAAAAAATGTTGAAGAACAAAAAAGTGATCCGAACAACTTATCAAAATATAATTTAATGGAATCCAATTTAACAATAACACAAGTGACAGAAAAAGAAGGTGTTCTTATTACAACAGATACAAGCAATGATATGTCTCTACAGGCATGGATAGAAACAAGTACACAGTCTTATTCTATTTCTACACCTGTTACTTCAAAACCACCAGTAAAAAAGCATGTTGATAGACCTCAACCAACTGCATTATCTGCCATCCGAATGCCAAATAGTGAAGAGCTGTCAACAAGAAACATGAGCACAAATGTTAAACGACCTGCCACCATTACTAAGGTCAACATGCCACTATTACAGCAATATGATATGCAGAATCACAATTACTCTCCTGTAATAAACAGAGAGGCAAAGACTAGTTTCTTAAATACTCCCACAGTTAATACCAAGATAAGACTAGATGGTAAAGAATGGTATTATAAAAACTACAATAACTCCAATTTGGAACCATACATAGCACCAGAAGTACATTCTGCAAAAAGTGAAAGTGCATCTCATAAAAACTCCATACTGAAAATATTCATACTACAATTTATTATATGTGTTGACATAAATTATTTACATTGATTTAGTTGGAATTGACAATACCACTTTTGAGTATAAAAACTATTTATTCATGAAATATTTATGTTATCAGTAACTATTGTAACCACACATTTGATAAGACTTAATTTTGTTTGATAGTAAGTTAACGAATTGTGTTGACTATAAAAAAATAATTAATGCTATATCCATACTTTAACTATACATAAATAAATAAATCATTTTATGCTGTTTTATTTAGATATATTTACAGAATTATAATAATGAAAACGAGATAAAGAAGACAGAAAACTAATTAGATACCTGGTTACTCAGAGCCTCATATTTCATTTGCTTTTTCTATAAAGAACTTCTTTAGTTGTTCTAAAGCCTTGTACCTATGAGATATAGTATTTTTTGTTTCCTTTGGTAATTCAGCATAGGTTTTGTCATGTCCATCTGGTTGAAAGACACAATCCCAACCAAAATCTCTTGTTCCTCTTGGAGGAACAATTTTTCCTTTGGTTATTCCTTGAAATAATATAACATCTAGATCTTCACAATTCCCAGTACAGTATGCAAACGTGCAAATTGCTTCTGCGGACTTGTCTTCCCAGCCCGTAAGAAGTTTTGATAGTCCTTCTGGTTGAATTTTTTCCAGAAACCATTTTATGTATGGTCCCGGTAAACCATTCAGTGCTTTAAAACAAAGACTGGTATCTTCTACTAGTACTGGTGTTTTTAGTTTACGAGCAGCTTCTTGACATTTCTTTATAGATACTTCATTTATCTCACCTTGAAGTTCTGGTAAATCTAAATTGTGGCTTATAATTTCTAGTGGGAAATTGTTCCCCAATATAGCTCTGACTTCTTCCAACTTTTTAACATTACCAGTAACAAATGTCAATGTTCTTTGAGCCATGATAAGCAATTTATTGTCTTGTTCTTAACCTTTCCTAAAAGTTTTAAATTAATTATTAAACGGCACTGACATAAACAAAAATTTAAATTCTTTTTCTTCCGATTGATTCCGTGCGATTACGGATTTAGGGATGTAACGATATATCGACACCTAAAATATTGAAATGTATCGATTTAAAAAATATCGTTTTCTAGATCGAAAATACACATATATTAAAACATAATATCAAATGAACTCCTAAAAGTAAATGTATATCAGTGGTCCAAATTTTAAAATCCAGAGGCATTTTTCGATCATCACTTTGAAATTAGTGATATCTGTGCCAATATTTTGTGACACTGTTTTGAAATTTGTAGTGTTTATGATTTTTATTATTGTAATTTATGCATTTTGTTCATACTAATGTGTTATTTCCAATTCAATCGCAAACTAATTAAAGTAGCAATAAGACATTTTTACTGTTGTGACCACGAGCGCGCTTTTTGAACTTCTTTTTTTTTTCAAAAATAGCATGCATTTTCTATTACAAATGTCACTCTCGAGAGTAGGATTTCGTATAGGCGCACCCCAGAAAAGTGACATTTGGGTGTAGATAAAACGCTATCGTCTTCATCATGCAACCCATGCAGGAGTGATCATCACACGAAGTAGGAATAGGCTTCTAGAAAGCGGGCTATCCAAGTTATCATTCCTAAATTCAGTAGCCACTACCGATTATTGATACAATAAAAAATACGATAAAACGAATTTTATTTACAATTCATTCACCCATAAATTTACACATATCGGGTCTGTGAAGTGATATATTGACATATCGATATCGATTGTAACCGATATATCGTTGTTGTCAATTCAAAAGGATGTATAACAAAACAGTAGATTTCAGTAAAATCAAAAAATCTGTATATTTGTACAATTTTCATTCATAGATTAACAATACTCAGAAAAAACTTTAAATAAAATAGATATACGGATTTGCAATTTCGCTAGAAAGATGATTTTCGAAACTTTACGTCCTTTTGACACTTTTTCTTATATGTAGTGGTAAAACATATGACTTTCTGATAAAATTGATGACTTGGGACATTTCGGATGAGTCTCTATGGTGATCTTAACAGGACAGAGTACTCACACAGAAAAGCGAGCAGAGAGATATAATGTACAGAGGCTTGTACTGATACTGATTTTGAATGTACTGATTTTTGATTGTACAATTTTACAAAGAGTTAAATTAACCATATTTAATTCTGATAATTTTAGTGGGCTAGAAAATTTATTATTTCTGTTACGACAATTATAAACAAATCTATTTATGTATACAGTCATATGTAGAATTTTACTATAGTTTGAGTATTACATAACAAAATCGTTAAGACTGTATACCATTTCAGAAAGGTGACATGAAACCCTTGTTTCAGATAAGTTCTCCAGTTCAGTATTTTGAGGTTGTAAAGGCCACTGAATTTCAGTCTGATGTAGGAAATATGGACCTACCCACCATAAATGTGAAATTTTAAGTTGTTCTGCATTCAACCCTCTCGACCTTATATCGGCGGGATTTAAATCAGTTGGCACATAGTGCCATTGATTTGCATTGATATATTGTGTTATTTCATTTACCCTATTATAAACAAATTGATTTAAGTTTTTCTTACAGCTTTTTAACCATCCTAATACTATAGTCGAATTACTCCAAAAATATTGGGAATTGATGTCTAAACGAAGTGATTCAATGACCTTTTTTGTCAGTTGTGTGGCTAAAAGCGCAGTACATAGCTCTAGTCTCGGCATAGTCAAACGCTGTTTTTGTGGAACCACCCTACATTTTGCTACACACGCTGCGTATGATTTAATGCTCGCGTCACTAAATGTATGCTACTCTACACTCTCAAACGATTCGCCTAACACTAGTCGTGGTATTTCAATAATATTGAAATTTATGTGTTGTATGGTTGAAATAAAGCTATTCCATTGTGATTGAATATCACTGGGCAACTCGGCATCCCATGATATATTTTTTGATGATAATAATATAATAATGTTTGTAAAATTAATTTAGCTTGTAATAAACATGAGTTGACTAAACCTAAAGGATCAAATATTTGTGCAATAGTAGAGAGAATTGAGCGCTTACTCGTTATAGAACCTTGTGCGAGTGTATTTGTTGATGAAAATAGAAACGTATCGTTTTTACACGACCATAATAGTAGTACCTAATGTTTTTGAATGCGGGGTTTTACATAAATTGAGCAATTCATCATTGCTATTTTCACCAACAATTTGATTAATTATGTCAGAATTATTCGAGTGCCATTTGCGAAGGCGGAACTGCGCACTCTCTAATTAAGCTATTATACCCTCACATGTACGTATTAATGTGTCGGCGTCTTGCTGTCTGTCTGAACAATCATAACCTAATTGTGTTCGACACCGTGATGCTAAATATGGGGCTGATGCAGTCCCATAAGTAACTGTATTAAACTTTTATTGTTTAATTTCTTCACTCGTATCGAAACGCCAGAATATTTGCTGCAGATCATGTTGATCTTCAGCAACTAAGATTTCTCTGTACATTTTTTCAATGTCACATTGTCGAAAGATGTCACATCATATTTATGTTGTCTAAAACGAAGTAGTATGCTTATCAAATCATCTTGAATAGGCCCACCTACATATTGGATATTGTTTAACGACTTACCGGAGCTTGTTACAGTTGAAGCATCAAAGACATTTCGAAGTTTAGTTGTTGAACTATTTTCACGTAAGACGCCGTGATGAGGCAAAAAATATTGAATATTGTTTTGTGAAATCTTTGTGTTTTCTGACATATGACCAAGACTATATATCCTTTCATAAAGTCTGTATATTTTTCCTTGAAAGAAGAGTAACGTTTGAATTTACGTCCTAGTGCTTGAAATCTGAGTAATGCTTGCTCTTTAGAATTATATAGGCATTCAATAAATTCTTTGAATGGGATCCTTACAATGAATCTACCGTCTGGTTAATGAAATGTTGTTTGTATAAAAATATTCTCACATTGACTCTCAGCATTTGACTTAGCTTGTTGAGCTGTGGGTACTAGCTCTAATTCGAAAAATTTGTTTAATTGTTCATCGAGCTCAATATTGTTTAGTAAATGACATTGTTTTTTCAACCAAGGTTGGTTTGTTTTTGCCTAAAGGTATTCGATTGTTTGTGAGCACCTCCCAAAATATATCAGCGCCCAATAACATTTGTATCTCGGACGGAACTTTGAAATTTGGATCCGCGAGTTGAATGTGACTAGGAATAATGAAAATGTCACTATATTTAATTTTTTGAGATGGTATATATTGTGTAATTTGTGGTACAACAAAACAATTAACTTCTGCTGTATAATTATTATTAGTAAGTGATGATATTGCCACATCACATCTTTTTGTTATTATAGACAACTGTTTGTTTAATAATTGTACTGTCACAGAAGCACAATAGTGTGGTAATTGTAACTGATTTAATAATGACTCTGTAATAAAGCTAGACGTGCTTCCGTTATCTAATAAAACACGAACATTGTGTATTCTGCCATTATAATCAGAGACCTTTATTATAGCAGTAGATAGTAGTATATGGGTTTGACTGTGTGATATTTTGTTGTGGTGTCTGCTTATGTGAAGTGTTCTTTAGCTCTGAAGTCTATGAGGCAGGAAGAACAATACACTCACGGTTTGCGCAACTGTTGGTTTGTGCTCAATGTGTAACATACTGTTATGACGTTGACCAAAAAACGTACAAGAACTCAATTTACATTTATTTTCACTATGACCCTTACGCAAACAGTTTTGACACAAATTTAATTTCTTTGCTTATTCTATACGAGATTCTATTGACATACCCTTGAACTTAAAGCACTGATAAATCGAATGATTGTTATTACAGACAGGGCAATGAAATTTTGGTGGTTGATTTACCACAAATGACCTTGCTCGCATAGACATAAAGTCACTATGCCTACGTTGTGTTTTGTAGTGAGTTTCTGGCACATCACTATTTTTGCGTTGTGGTTTCTGGTGGGCTTCTCCCATGGTTACAAGTAAATGTGCTCGGTTTTTTAGAAAGTTATTTAAGTCATTAAGTGTCGGACTGTCTTTAATGACATTACGTTGGAACTCCCCAATCACGAAGAGTTGGAGAGTCAAGTTTACTTGAAACCATGTGGATTATTAACATGTCCCAATGTTCTGTGGGTAGTTTCAAAGTAGTTTACGTTCTTCATTCCAAATCTGAATTCGGATGAAAGTTACGAGCAACCAATAAGTTGGCTCATCACTAATGTTGACGTATCAACCAAACGTCGTTCCTTTACATGTAACATAATAAACAACTTAAACTTGCGATAAAAATAAATTAAAATTAATTCGAATGTTAGATATTATAAGAAAAACAAAACGATGTCATATTTATTATGTTTCGATACTCAATTAACTTTCATTACGTCAGAAACAAAATCTGAATGAATATCATAAACAAAATCCAAACTTCACGAGTGACATCTAGTATAATTTCAAGAACTATTTTTTTTTTATATACTTCCTCATTCAATGCACTAAGTGACGTCGTACGGTGCTACGGTAGGGAAAAACGTATGGGCGTTTTTATTGACATTCAATTTTTCACTGTCTTAAGCTGAATTTCAAGGGTGTAATATCGGTGCATTGAATCGATTTAGTACTATGTATCGATTCGAAAACTTAGTTTCGTTAGTCAACCGATTTATTTAAGCTCGCCATCGCTACGTGACATGATGACTGTCAGATTTTTTGCTATTGAATTGCATTTCGCTTCGTTCGTTGTTTGAAGAGTTAAAGTAGAAGTGTAATAATAGTTTCCTGTGTTTAAATTATTCTTTATTCTTACCACGAATCGTTTTAAAACTATTATCTAGATTATCTAAAACGCAATTATAAAAATGCCCAGTCAAGAAATCGTCACCACCAAAGTTGTGGTTCATCCCTTAGTATTACTGAGTGTAGTGGACCATTTTAACCGAATGGGAAAGATTGGCAATCAGAAACGTGTTGTAGGTGTTCTCTTAGGTTGCTGGAGAGCTAAAGGGGTTCTTGATGTATCCAACAGCTTTGCAGGTTAGTTTGGCTTTTTGGGATACTAAAATATTTTGATACCTAATATATTACTTCTATACAAAATTCACCTATCTATAGTTTAAGTCTGTAATATATTTTTGTGATTATTGCAGTGTTGAATTTTCATAAAGATCAACACCCTTTTGCTTTGTATTGAATTTGAGGCAATAATTACAATATATTATATATTATGGAATGCAAAAATATTTCATATAGTGATAAGTTTTTTGAGGTTTAAGTTTACCCCTGCCTGCTTCAACCAAATCACATGCATAATCTTAATAGTTGAGGAAAAAATAAATACACGATATAGGGAGTGTAGTCAACTCCCCTACCCCTTTGTGATATTTTTCCTGATTTTTTACGAACCCCCCCCCCCCCCCCTCTTTGAGCCTCACGTGATTAATGGACAGCCCCTTACCCACAACTTTGATCATGTAAATAGTGTAAAGCTTATGCTACCCACTTACAACATAGCTTCCCATAGGTGATAGAGTTTTAAATTGGCCCACCAGTTTCAAACCCTCTTCAACACAACAAACAATCAAGTTTTTCCTCTGTAGAATACTACAAAACTAATGAGTACAGAAGAGAATAATATTTCAATTTATTTTTAATTTGATTTCAGTGCCATTTGATGAGGATGACAAGGATAAATCAGTGTGGTTCTTAGATCATGATTATTTGGAGAATATGTATGGTATGTTTAAGAAAGTAAATGCCCGTGAAAAAGTTGTGGGCTGGTACCACACTGGGCCAAAACTTCACCAAAATGATGTGGCCATCAATGAGCTGATCAGGCGTTATTGTCCAAACTCTGTTCTTGTTATAATCGACGCCAAACCTAAAGACTTAGGCCTGCCTACTGAAGCTTATCAAGCAGTTGAAGAAGTACATGATGATGGTAGTCCTACCACTAGAACTTTTGAACATGTGCCCAGTGAAATAGGAGCTGAAGAAGCTGAAGAAGTTGGAGTAGAGCATTTACTAAGAGACATTAAAGACACTACAGTTGGCAGCTTATCACAGAGAATCACTAATCAATTACTTGGCTTGCGTGGATTACATTCACAACTTACTGAAATCAGGGATTACCTCATTCAAGTTGGTCAAGGATCTTTACCAATAAACCATCAAATAATTTACCAGTTGCAAGATATCTTTAATCTTATACCTGATATTGCTAATGATAACTTCATTGATAATCTTTACATTAAAACAAATGACCAGTCTCTAGTAGTTTATCTTGCTGCTTTAGTCAGATCAATTATAGCTTTGCATAATCTCATTAACAATAAGATTACTAATAGAGATGCTGAAGAAGGAAAAAAAGAGGATGCAAAGGACAAGAAAGAGAAGAAAGATGAAAAGGATGACAAAAAAACTGAGGAGAAAGTGAAAGCAGATAAAAAGGAGAAAGAAGAAAAGAAGAAGTAATATAAATCATTAGAGTTAAGTCGTTTGTAATACTGAATTATTTTAAATAAATTGTAATTACTAATTCCATACTGTTTCCTTGTTGATAAAAATGTGTTTCTATCCATAGGCTGGGTGTGCCCTAGCAGGAGTGAACTAAATACTTGTCTATAATATTGTTGCTTCATTTGATAATAGTTTAGTGTCATTTTTGAATTTGTTCCATGCAGTGGCGTAGCGTAGTGGGGTGCGGAGGTGCCCCGGGTGGCATTTTTTAGGGTGCAGCAAAATTGCACAGTAAACAAAAAATATATTTTATTAACTTATTCTGTGACGAATTCCGAGAATACTCTTTCTTAAATATTTTGTAGCGATTGGCAAACCCATCTTAACTGACTTACGGGGATTTCCCATATTTTATTTTGTGATTGGATTGTTTAGGGCTTAAAATCAGTGAGCAAGAATGACTTCTATTACAAATGATGTCCTACAAACATATATCTTAAATTCATTATTGTTTATTACGTCCCTTTAAGAAAGTACTTGATACTTTGACGATCAAAAGAAAGTTTTATTCATGGATCTTCAGTTGTATAGTTCATGTTTTATCTTTTTTGTTTTTTAAAAGACAAGCCCGCTTGTAAGGGCACAAGTTGTCCTTTGTTCCAGAGAAAACTAAACCACACGACCAACCGTGCAGTCAAAATCTGCTGTATAATGCAAAATAATGATGACAGTTTTGCCGTAAAAAGCTTTAAAATTAATGTTAATAATGTATAGTATAATTATATAAAATACCTAATTTAGAGGGGCAGCAAAATTGTCTTCCGCCTCGGGCGGATACGCCACTGGTTCCATGGATATCCTGTAAATATTATAGATGTATGACTTTTGCTTTATTAAGTTTATGTTTAGGGACATAGCTCATTTAAATATGGGAAAAATAGCGTTGGACCGAGCACAGTTTCTTGGGCAATACATACCATGCGACAGTAGCAACTAATGAATATTGCTATAATGAAAAACGAACAGTTTTCGTCAAAATCTTACAAATACTTAACGCGTTGGGGAGGGGGGGAGGTAAGCGTTATGTCGCACCCGCCATTTGCGTAGGTAGAAAAAATGATAGAACTTTACATGTAGGTAGAGCTAAAAGGTCTTAAATAAACTGATGATGAATCCCTGTTGTAAACGTGGTTGCATTATGACCTTTCTGCGACGAGGGATGCCGAGAATATCGGTTGGGCTTTCACACAGATAAGTGGGCCATTATTGATTTATACTTTAGGTAGGTACATTGTTTTTACCCGACTACGGCAAATTCAAGAGAAAACTCTTAGTAATACATTAAAGAAAGAAAGAAAAGTATTGCTGAAACCACATAACACACACGCAACAACAGTAATGTGGATAAAAAATACATAAATGCAGAAAAGATTGTATCTGCGCCTGTGTCACTTTAATTTCAATGTATATTAAAACATTTATGCTTATCTACGAGATTATCTTGAATTTTTTTCTTGATACGCAGGTACTATCTACTGATAATACTTATTGATAAGTGCATGGCAGTCTTCATCGATTTACTGTAAGCAATAGACCAACGCAGAAGAAAAGTTGTTATGTATACATAGGTATAGCATAAAGTGAATCTCAAGAGTGGTCCAAGATGGTTGATCGAATACAGTTATCTGTAAGTTTAATTTGGAATTTATTTTTGTAGCAAATTTTTCAGTCTGTAGGTAATCGGACACAACCCAATGTTTAATTTACTGATAGATCAAAATTCTCTATCGACAAATAAATCTATCATCATGACGACATATTAATTAATAACCGTAAATTTAGTAGTTATATAGTAATAACTTATCGTTCAGATAATTTCTAAGGATGCTGTTAGTAGTGCATCACTAGCAGTAAAAATTATTTTACAGTACATAAAGTACCTAATTATGTACTTTATGTACAGTACCTACCTATTACCTAAGTAGTTACTCGAAAATATTTGATCTCTGCCCTGCGATTCTGTAAAAATCGAGACCTATTTCATTTAATTTAGTATAGACATTCTATAGATTCCATTTTTTGTATAAATATACAAAACAAAATTGATTGAATATACGTGTCTTAGATATTCTATTTCGATATAATTTCGAAACTCACTTCACTTATGCCACGAAACGTTATTACCAATTCACTTTTTGAAGTGTATTCGGATTCGAATTATGGTTTGGATTTTACAGAATCGCAGGGCAGTGAATGATTTGCAGCGGCGATCCTTTGCTGCGCGGTACCTATTTTTAGAGCCACTCATGATAATATGGACCGACTTGTATTTTTATGAATAGCCACGTCTATATCTTTAACTGATAATAGTTATTCTATGGTTATTCTATTGTCTACTATTAGGTTTTGACATTTCCTACTTCTTATTTTTCATTTTTAATAAAAGCACCTAAGTACTTTGCGATACTTTAAAAGTAACTTAGATGATATAAATTTGCATACGACTGTATAATACTGCTTTAAGAAATATTCCATAACTCCAGTTTGTACTGCTTTTAGCGATAAGACTGCCTTGGCTTACCCTTGCAGTAAAACGTTTTGTTAACCTTTCTATGTGTGTGCGCAATAAAGTGTTTACTTAACTACAATATTACTTAAAAAATATTACTAAGTGCATCATCAGCTAATCAACGAATTGTCGTCGAATTAAGTTAGTAATATTTTTTCAAAGAAGTTAATTTAGGCTTTATATACAACACTTTTCCAGAATTTGGTGTGGGTGAAACCGGAAGGGAAGTCCGAGTTTGACATCCCAGTGGCGGTGAAGGTCCTTCAAAGTTCTGATGGCAAAGTGAGAGTGCAAGACGATGACGGCAAAATTTTCATCACTTCCATCAGCAATGTCATCAAGCCGCTTCATGCCACATCGATAGCTGGAGTAGAAGACATGATCACTCTTGGAGAACTGCAGGAGTACACTATCTTACGCAATTTACATATACGGTACAACCAGCAGCTAATATATGTAAGTATACATTCTTGGGGTATCCAGACTTGCTAAAGCGCAAACTCGAGATTTAGTCAAGATAACATATTTATTTAATTAATTCATCAGTATTAAAAACAATATCAATGTTCGACCAATTCTGTGTGTTCACACATTAATTTAATGGTTCATTAACAATAAATACTTTCTAAATTCGAACGTTCATTAAAACTTAAAGTAGTCATTAAACCTTAATGAACGTTTGTGCAACTGGGCTAAGCAAATAAATTAACGTACGCCATTGTGACCTACTTAGTTATTTCGTTTTATTTTTAATAAGTGAGATGTATTGTAATTGACTCAAAATTGCGATTTTTTGCTTAGTTTACATACTAGTTTACTACGTTGCTATAGTAAACTAGTCTATGGCCCATCCTCCTTAACCATTCATAAGGAAGACCTGGGAGCCCCGGCAGTGGGGACGTAAGAGGGCTGTTGATGTTAATGATAAGCAAGCTTCATGTTACAGGGGTTATAAACTTTTTCTTGTCTAGTACCTGTAACAAAAAATATATATTACACAACGGATAATAAAAATAAACATACACGTACTTAAGTAGTGCATATGTTGTAATTTCATGATTTTAATGCGTTTTAAACGAGAACTTTTATTAGGTTTATATTTCTTTCCAGACGTACACAGGAACCATGTTAATAGCAATAAATCCGTACGAGATACTGCCTATCTACACCATGGATCAGATACAATTTTACCAAGGCACGAACGTGAGCGAAGTACCTCCTCATATATTCGCTATCGGAGAGAATTCTTTCAAAGAACTTTTAAATACATCATCGAATCAATGTATAGTTATCAGGTATCGTATAACTTACAATTAGGTACAGTCAACATCACGTCACATTATCTATTTCTGTCAAATTTCCCTACTTGATTTTAAACCTTTATGTTTTGTGGGCAGAGTTTAAATCCACTGGAGAAATTTTATATATTATATTGGTTTTTATTTTATCTCAAACATTCTTTTTATGATTTTAGTGGAGAAAGTGGAGCAGGAAAAACTGAAAGTACCAAACTTCTGTTACAATACCTTGCAGCAGCTAGTGGAAAGCATTCATGGATTGAACAACAAATACAAGAAACTAACCCAATATTAGAAGCATTTGGCAATGCTAAGACTGTGCGAAACGACAACTCTTCAAGGTTTGGGAAATATATCAATATATATTTCAGTGCAAAGGGTGCTATCGAAGGAGGAAACATTGATCAATACTTGTTAGAAAAGTCTAGAATTGTTTTCCAGAACAAAGGAGAAAGAAATTATCACATATTTTACTCTCTCGTTAAAGGTTTGGCAAATGATGAAAGAAAAAAATTGGAGTTAGGCCGACCAGAAGATTATACGTACTTGAATTCAGGTAACACAATCACTTGTGATGGACGAGATGATGTTGTCGAGTTCACTGATATAAGATCAGCTTTCAAAGTTCTCAACTTCCCCGATGATGAAGTATGGGACATTTTCAGCTTACTAGCATCGGTGTTACATTTTGGGAACATGAGGTTTAAGTCTTTCAATTTTAATAACATCGAATCGTCAGAAGTTGCTGATGCTGTTAATGCAAACCGTATTGCAGCACTATTGGGAGTAAATAAAAGTACACTGTGCGATGCTTTAACTCGCAAAACAATTGTAATTCAAGGTGAAAAAGTTATATCAACAATAACCCCAGCAGCAGCTACGGAAGGAAGAGATGCTTTAGTCAAAGCGATTTATGGTTACATATTTGAATATATTGTGGAAATGATAAATAAAACTTTGCATAAAGAACAAACATTATCAAGTGGCTCAGTCGGTATACTTGATATTTTTGGGTTTGAAAATTTCGATTCAAATAGTTTCGAACAGCTTTGCATCAATTATGCGAATGAAAATTTACAACAATTTTTTGTAAGACATATTTTTAAACTTGAACAAGAACAGTATGAAAAAGAAGGTATAATATGGAATAATATAAATTATGTAGATAATCAAGAAAATCTTGACATGATTGGAATGAAACCCATGAATGTGCTGGCTTTAATTGACGAGGAGTCGAAGTTTCCGAAGGGCACAGATGTAACTTTACTTACCAAATTGACGTCAAACCACAGTGAAAGATCCTGTTACATTACTCCTAAATCTTCACGAGACCATAGATTTGGAATTAAACATTTTGCCGGAGATGTGTATTATGATGTGAAAGGTAATAATATTTTTCATATTAAGATTGAAATATTTATATTAATATAATTTTTAGCTAACTTTTGAAATTGTTTCAGGATTTCTGGATAAAAATAGAGATATGTTAACAACCGACATCAAAGAATTAATGATAGATTCCGGAAATACTTTTTTAAAGAATTTATTTGCTTCACATATAGCTCCACAAACGCATAATAGCAGCCGTAAAACAGTATCTTTGAGTTATCAGTTCAAAACATCACTGGATTCACTAATGAAAACATTATACGCATGCCATCCATTTTTCGTGCGATGCATAAAACCCAACGAGTTCAAAAAACCTAAAGTAAATTCCATTTGAAATATAGTACCTACTTAAGCATTTTTCGAAAGTAATTATGATATATCGAAGACACTTGTGTTTTTTTTCAGTTGCTTGATAGAGGCTTGTGTGTTCGACAACTAAGATATGCGGGGCTAATGGAGACTGCAAAGATCCGACAAGCTGGATTTCCTATTCGCTATTCATATGCTGAATTTGTATACAGATATCGCTTGATAGTCCCTGACATCCCTCCTGCTGAGAAGACTGATTGCAAAAAAGCAACTCGGATAATTTGTACCGAAGTTTTAAAAGATCAGGAATTCCGTCTTGGTCACACCAAAGTTTTTCTTAAAGATTCCCATGATGCTATTCTAGAGGAGTTGCGTCATAAAGTTTTGATAACAGCTGTTATAAAAGTGCAAGCGAATGCAAGAAGATTCATATACCGCCGCAGGTTTCTTAAAATGCGGGAGGCTGCTATTATTATTCAAAAACATTTCAGAGCTAGAGGTTTCAGAAAGAGATATTTGATAATGAAACGAGGTTATTCACGTTTACAAGCGAAAATCAAATCCAGAGAATTAAAGAGGACCTTTATCAATTTAAGGAAATTCACCACTAAACTTCAAGCTCTTACTAGAGGGTATTTAGTACGAAAATTAATTAAAGAAAAGGGACATATAATAAAAACTAAATTGCTGGAGTTCAAGAAATATAAAGAGGCACAGCTTAACTCTGGAAATACAATTGCGAAAGCAGAAGATGAATATGAGAAATCGTACACAGAACTCATGAGGTCAATATGGATCATTAAAGATGTGACAGTAGAAAATAACATTCAGAATACATCTATGATCGACGATAGATATGTCGACGATGTTTTTGATTTCTTAAAGGACACTACCATCCCTGCTGGAACTGTCCGAGGAACTGGATTTGGTGTGGTATGTACAAATGTTTGATATATTATTTTATTTTATCTTTTACTATTTATTTTTCGCACCTAAGATTTTTTTTTTATGATAAATATTAACTGCGTGATATATTAAAGTTTTATCTGTATTGAAAAATCACTAAAATATGGTTATAATTTTCAGAGCAAAACCGCAAAACCAGAAATATCAAATGTATTGCCCCTGCCGCAAGAAGACGAAGAAGAAACGTTTGATGAATTTAATTTCAGAAAGTTTGCAGCTACTTATTTCTTGGGTAACATCAGCCATTTGTATTCCCGTCGGCCATTGAAAAATTCTCTCCTCGATCTACCGTCGCCGATTGATATAATGGCTGCTAAAGCGCTGTGGATAACTATTCTCAGATTCATGGGAGATTTGGCAGAACCAAAATACGTCGATGATAAGATTGACAATATACCTGTAATGGCAAAATTAACAGAAACTGTCGGACGGGCATTTCATAAGAGTAAAGAATTTGAAGTGCGTATTAATTTAATTACTTGCATATAAAATGTTTGTAAAGCATCACACGTTACAATTTTCTAATATCGTTGAGTCGAGTTTGAGAGGGATATTTTATTAAGGTTGGTATATGTTTTAGGATCTTTTGCTGAACGATAGTACTCATGATAGAAGTAAAATGATTCAGAAGACACTGAAGAGACAAACCAAATTTAATGAGGATTTAATGAAAAGTCTATTAAATGACGAAGTAACAAATGAATTATATAGTACTTGGTTAAGTTCAAGAAGAAGTACCAATTTAGAGAAGTTACACTTTATAATAGGTCATGGAATTATAAGAAAAGAATTGAGGTAATTAATAAATTACATTACTGCAAATGTGAACATACAAGTGTAATAAGCTTATAAAAATTAGCAATCAATTAAATCTATGTTAATTTTATTACTATTTCATTCATAACTATTGTACACTTTCATTGCAGAGACGAAATATACTGCCAGTTATGCAAGCAACTTAGCAATAACCCTTCAAAGGCATCGCATGCTCGAGGATGGATTCTTTTGTCTCTATGTGTTGGTTGCTTCCCTCCATCGGAGCGATTCGTTAAATATTTAAGATCTTTCATACGCGAAGGTCCCCCCGGTTATGCTCCATATTGTGAAGGCAGATTGGTAAGGACTTTCAAAAACGGTCCCAGAACACAACCTCCCAGTTGGCTGGAGTTACAAGCTACTAAAACAAAAAAACCTATTCTGCTAACTGTTACCTTAATGGATGAAACAATGAAAACAGTCCAGTCAGATTCAGCTACAACTTCGGAAGAAATATGTCAGCAAATTGCTGAAAGTATTGGTTTGGTGGACGTATTTGGATTTTCACTTTACATTACTTTGTATGATAAAGTTTTGTCTCTGGGCAGTGAAGGTGAACATATAATGGATGGTATTTCACAATGTGAACAGTTTGCTAAAGAACAAGGAACTCCTGAAAAGAAAGCTCCATGGAGGCTTTTCTTCAGGAAAGAAGTATTTACTCCTTGGCATAATCCAATGGATGATTCGGTTGCTACAAATCTAATTTATTGCCAAGTAGCAAAAGGAGTAAAGTTTGGTGAATATAGATGTGATTCAGAAAGGGATTTAGCAATGATTGCTGCACAGCAACATTATATAGAATTTGGTTTCAAAATAGATCCTAATATGTTGCGAAAAGTTATAGTCAATTACATTCCTAACCAATTTATACAGTCGAATGATGCTTCATTAACGAAATGGGAACATCTTGTTACTAAGGCTTTTGAATCTTCACAAAGTATTCAATCTAAGATAGATCCATTGAGATGTAAAGAGGATATCGTAATATATGCAAAATTAAAATGGCCTATGCTATTTTCGAGGTTTTTTGAAGCCTTGAAACTAAAAGGTGACTCTATAAATAAAGATCTTGTAATAATAGCAGTGAATTGGACTGGTATTTATATTGTCGACCAGCTAGAACACATTTTGCTTGAAATTTCATTTTCTGAAGTTACGTATGTTGCATATCAAGAAGATCAAGACTACGATAACCTAGGAAAAATTATTATACGAACTATACAGCAAGAAGAATTCGTGTTCCAGAGCATCGAAGCAAGTGAAATGAGCATTTTAATAATATACTTAATAGATGGATTAAAGAGACGATCGATTTACGTTGTAGCTCAATCTGACTCTCAAGGATATAGCGACGCTTCTTCTTTCTTAGAATATAAAAAAGGTGATCTTATCACGCTTTTGCAAGACTGCACCGGAGAAACTTTGTTAAGTTCTACTTGGGGCCACGGCGTTTGTAACGGTCAGGAAGGTCTTTTCCCAACAGAACAAGTATACATAATACCTACAATGACACAACCATCTAACACAATACTAGAGATATTTAAGAAAGGTAACATACACAATGACAAGAAAACTCTATCAAAATATAACACTATCCAAAGAAAACGAATGCATACTTTAGAAAAATTCTCAAAAGAGCACTTTAGAGAAGATATTGACATTAATGCAACAATTTCTAGACAATCTGTCCTTACTACAGCTAAGAAAGCAGTGGCATCAGATATTTGGGCACATACTCGAGAACCTATTCGTAAACCTCTTTTAAAAAAAATACAAAATGATGAAAATATCTCAAAAAGTGCAATTGCTGCATTTTTTGCTATACTCAAATATATGGGTGATGTTCCTGCGCCAAAAGCTAGGTCTGTAACCGAATATACAGACGAAATATTTAGAGCAGCTCTGACGGAACCCAGTTTGCGTGATGAAATTTATTGCCAGATTATGAAACAATTGACAAATAACAGAATACAATTAAGTGAAGAGCGAGGCTGGGAATTGATATGGTTAGCAACAGGAGTATTTTCTTGTGGACAGCTACTACAAAAAGATTTAGTTGAATTTCTTAAGACTCGTCCTCATCCTATTGCTAAGGATTGTCTGAAACGATTTTTCAAAATTCAGAAATCAGGGCCAAGGTTGTACGCGCCTTATATCGTAGAAGTGGAAGCTATTCAACACAGAAGTATGCAAATATATCATAAAGTGTATTTCCCTGATGATACAGATGAAGCATTTGAAGTTGACTCGTCAACTAAAGCAAAAGATCTCTGTGAGCAAATCACTGGTCGTTTAAGCCTAAAGAATAGTGATGGCTTTAGTTTATTCGTAAAGATAGCAGACAAAGTATTCTCTGTTCCAGAAAACTATTATTTCTTTGACTTTGTATATGAACTTGTGGAATGGATGAAACAGACACGGCCAGTACGCGGTGGTAAGTTTTTATTATTTTTATTGTATAAATTTATATATATATATATATATTTATACTTTATTATATTTTATTGTATAAATTTATATATATTATATATATATATATTGAAACACGATCGAAACTTGGTATGCATTTTTATTTATTTATTTTCAGCAACAACCATGCAATTAAACTATCAAATATTCTTTATGAAGAAATTATGGATCAATACATCTCCTGGAAAAGATAAAAATGCTGATCAAATATTCTACTATCCCCAAGAACTTCCCAAATATTTACGAGGTTATCACAAAACCTCTAAACAAGATCTCATAGAGTTGGCTGCTTTGATATACAGAGCTCGGTTTGGCAATGACCAGTCAATGTTGAAACAAATAGATCAGATGCTTGTAGACCTCATTCCTTCTGATATGGTTAGATTACAGTCAAATTCGCAATGGAAGACTACCATAAGCAATACTTATCTACAACATTCCGGCATGTCAGAGTTTGAGGCAAAAGAAAAGTTCCTTCAAAAAATATATTCATTGCCCACCTTCGGCACTGCATTCTTTGAAGTAAAACAAACTTCTGATCCGTCGTATCCTGAAATGGTTGTAATTGGAATTAATAGAAACGGCGTTAGTATTATTCACCCTCAAAGTCGAGTGAGTATTTTATGTTTTTTCAGTGTTAGAGACTTGGATAAAACAAAAAGGGAATATACGGTAGTAGGGTAATATTGGGCATTCTGTCCCCCACTCGTTCGTGTCGGCGTTTCGCCACCACTCACTCATGGAATGACAGAATGCCCAATATTATAAATGGATTCAGTATAAGAATTTATTAGAGAATTGATGCTATTCACGCTTTTTAATTCAAGTTTTATTGAATGGATAATCGACTAACCTGGTTACCATGGCAGTGAGATTGATCACATTTTTTCACTACACTGACTGAAACGTAAACATTCATTAGATTCCTTTAATATGCCTAACGCAATTTGACTATTTATATAAAGTGCGAGTAATCAGAAACATTTTATGGATTTTCGTCAAAAAACCGTCATCAAATGAATGTAATATCTATTTGTAATATTGGGCATACTGTCATTCCATGAGTGAGTGGCGGCAAAACGCCGACACGAACGAGTGGGGGACAGAATGCCCAATATTACCCTACTTACGGTGTGTCCTTTAATTACGTATTCTGAAATTGGGTTTATACAACTACTATGCAAACACACTCACATAAAAACAATTATAATAGCTTAAACATTGCATGTAAGTTGAACCAAAATAACGAGTGTGCAGCCAGTTGTCCATTTTCAATTACCAATCGAGGTGCGGGGGTGAGACTTAGCACGTAATTATAGCAACACAAATACTGGAAAATCGCGAGGAAAATCGTAATTTTAATTTTAAATCGTAACACTATACTCGTATAGTGAGCAACAGTATGGACGTTTGTGCACTACACTGATTAGCTTGTGCACTTGTCCGTTTTTTTCCGGATCGGAGCAGCGCCCTTTAGGGCAGCTCTCTTTGATGCTACATATCCTTACTAATTTAGGAACAGCATTATTCACATAAAATAGTTAAAAATATCTGTGACTTTCTAATAAAATTACTGTTAATGTTCTCGTACTTGATGTTTAAATTTATAATCGTGCAATTTTTCTTTGAAGTATTGTAAAATCAACTTCAAGCGATTACAGACATATACCAGTCGTTGACGCTATTTTGTAAGCAAAGCGAAATTAATGCCGTGGAGATTTAATATACTAAATAAACTTTAGTTTTGAGAAAAGTAAAATTGCGTACCTCCATCTTCAAGAGGACCTACATATATACGAAAGACAGTAAGCTATAGCCAAGATCTCTGATTCTGCATATATATCGTTTTCACAAAAGTAGTAATACGTGTATGCGAATCCTCAGCTACGACCAAGTGTTCGATCTGTGAATATGTAAATGCTACGACGAGAAGATTTTTCTTTTTCTTTATAATAAAGTAGTTATTAGGTTAACCATGGCTAGTTGTTATGTCAAATGATGTGGAAAAAAATCCAGAACATCTAATTATAAGAAAGATGGTATAATTTTTCACTAGGAAGATAACCTTTTATTTGTATTTTTATCTCGTGGAGTTCTAGTTATAGTGGACAATGAGGAAGTTTTTAAAAAAAAATTAGTTCCCGAAATCAAACTAAATGTCGCTACGGTACGTTCTTGATTTCTCCATGACAACATTTCCAGTTTTCTTTCATGTTAAACATGTAAATTAGTTTTCTAAACTCAATAAACAACTCATATTCTATTTGTACTTTTTCATATTTGTATTGATATCTAAGTTACGAACTTTTAAAATTTTAGTTAAAAGGAACCGAAGTGACTGTCATTGGTCTATTCGTTTCCTGTAAAAATCAACTTTTTCTAGAGCCATCTAGTGGAGGTACTTTTTTAGAGCTTTCGTTTTTTTTAAATACTTCCTCTTGTAATTTTATATATAGGTAAACATACGAACTGTTTTTATATTCGTTTTTTTTTTAATATTATAAAAATGCAGCACGCGTTGATGACTTCTTGAAACCCATTTCTTTTTTCTCATTACTTAATTAGTATATTTAATTCATTCTGACAAAGACACATGAAACACTCGTCTCGCTACTGCACGGTTTTTCTAGATATGATCGATATCAATATTTCCATACGTATGTAAGTCGTAAACATTGATTGCCATTGTAATATTACAGGAAAAAATTATACTCAGTCCACAAATTAGTATTCAAAAGTATTAGAGGTTAATAAACAATATACCTACAGTACCCATGTTAACTACTTTAATATATTTTAGAACGTACATGTTTTAAATTTTAATATTTCAAATCCAAAGTTTGGAGCTTTTGAAGATTTAACTTAATATTTTTACATGAATGCACCACCGCAAAAAATTTTTTTTTATAAATGTTTTGTATCTCAGTGCATTTTATCATAGCTTTAAATTAGAAAGTGTAGTCACTGAAACCTTGCCGTTGGATACCTTGGTAGGGATGATGACTGGGTAAAAAAAATGCAATTCTATTTAGTCCGTAAGGCAGATAATAGAAAAATATTAGGTACGTATTTTTTTTACTTCAATTTAACAAGAAATAGCTTAGATAACAGGCATTAAAGTTGAGGAGTGAGGGCTCGCTACGTCACAGTTGAGTAGAAAACGTACTCTAACGTGACGTCATGCGAAATTTCAACTCCATGTAACGCCGTAATTTTATGATTACCAAAAAAATAAAAAAATACGTGTTTAATATTTTTTAACACTCTACCTGACGGACAAACAAACAAAAATTAGTCATCATCCCTATTGTGAATAAAAAAAATACAAATATATTAAAATCTATTTTTAATGATATCCAATGGTAACATTTACTATCGATCTATTATCGATATGCCTTTAAAAAGTTATGGTCTCCATCGCTACGGAATACGTGTCTTTGTACTAGCCAATATCGTCACCGCAATTACTTCGCCCGCCACCTACCCTACCGCTAAGATTGGCATCTTTATTTCTTTAACAAAATAGTCATCATGCGGTATCTAATGGAGGTTATCTGTGGTCTGTCTATAGTGTAATGAACACGGAACCTACAAAGGATTTGAATCCTCTGATAAAACTTTATAAATTATTTCAAAATTCATGCGATAACATTTAACAGTCTTTTTATTTAGGTCCATAAAATCTTAGAAACGAATCATAAACTCTGATCATAATTTGCCGGTAATAATATTTTCATATATTTGATTTTCAGGACGTATTAGTGACGCATCCTTTCTCTCAACTTTCCAACTGGTCTTCGGGGAACACATTTTTCCATATGACAATGGGGAACTTCCTTCGAGGCACAAAGATTCTCTGCGAAACATCATTAGGGTACAAAATGGATGACCTAATTTCATCGTATATAGCTGTATTGAGACAGTCAATGGTTCAAAGTCGTAAGGCTAATAAATAATAAAGATAATATTAAGTATAATATATGTTCAACAAAATAATTACATAGATACAATAGTTTTTGCATAAATTATTTTATTATTTATTTTTTTATTGCATATGAAATAATATAAAAAATTGTAATTAAAAATGTGAAACTGTTAATTCTTTAGATTATCTACCTACTTTTTGTATTGAATTTATATATGAATATTATGCTGGGTATGGACAACATCCCCGACCCAATGAAACTTGGCGCCCTTGGCAAAAACTGGAATGTTGTCGCCCATAAAAAAATCTCAACAAAATAAAATACTTAATGTAGGTATACGGTTGAGGAGTGCAATTTTGGCAACAACAAAAGGAACTCCTTCCGTACTGCTGCCCTGCGATTCTGTAAAAATCCAAACCCGAATTAGAATTCACTCACGTGTCCGAATTGGTAACAACGTTTCGTGGCATATAAAAAATGCGGACTCAAAAGTGAATTCGAATTCGGGTCTGGGTTTTTAAAGAATCACAGGGCTAGTCTAAAAATTAAATAAAATAATTTGGAGTAATTTTTTATTTTATTGAAATTCTTTTAATAATACTCAGATGCCATTTCTAAGAGCTTTGCATCGTATTTCATTAATATTAGGGTTCAAAGTATGAAATTGCCGTTTTATTGTATAGTTTCTTCTTTTAAAAAATGTGAAACATTTGAATATCGACTTTCAATTGTCTTTGTTATTCAACTTAGACAAGAAAGATGGATACTGCGAAAATTAGAGTGATTTTTGAATAAGAGTTCCGACGTGGAAGTAACGCGGCAGAAACAGCCCGCAATATCAATCTTGCGTTTGAAGAAGGGTTATTATTATTATTAATTAGCGGTTTAACGTTACCTTACCCACAATATTAAAAAAATACGAAAAATGGGTGCCTCATGATTTGACTGATCTGTAGAAAGAATGATCGTGTTGAGACTTGTGTTGCCTTGTTGAAGAAATATTGGATCGAATCGTAACATGTGACGAAAAGTGGATAGTTTATGATAACCGTAAAAGAAAAATGCAATGGCTGACTGCGTGAGACCTAATACAGCATGAGAAACCATTTTGAGCCTTCAGGGACTGCAGTTAGAAACCATTCGTCATCCTCCGTAATCGCCAGACCTTGCTCCAACGGACTACAATTTTTTTCGTGATTTGGACAATTATCTACGTGACAAGAAGTTTTCTTTCAGTACAAAATGCTTTCACACAGTTTGTGCAGTCTAGTTCCTCAGCGTTTTATCGCAAAGGCAGAAATGACCTTCCTATTAGATAGCAGCAATGTATAGATAATAATGAAAACTATATTGATTAAATAAGTTTGTTAAAAATTAAAAAAAAAATGATTTTCAGTACAAATCGGCAATTTCACACTTTACCCCTATTATAAAAATTTGTCTATGAATGTAGTGTTTAATTTTTTGTGTTCGTAACCATAAAATTAAGAAAAGGAACTCGAATGCGAACGTGAAAAATTTGAAAAACTAAAATATAAACGGTCAGCATTGACGAAAAATTGGAGAGTAAATTCATAGTAACGTGCTCGGACGAAATAATTAGAGCAAATACGAGCACCCTATGCAGTTGCCTAGTTTGCCTACCGCAAGTGTGCGGCGAGTTACACGGTACCGCATGCATACGCCAAACCCGCCGCTCACCAAGGACTAAAAGGATGGGTCTGCTCTGTTGTTAGGATTATAATGAAGAAGTTACGTACTTGCTATTTGGTGTTGTTCAGGGACGGTCGCCGGTTTACTTGTATGTCAAGCTTAATTTTCTCTTGTCGTGCAGTCAGGAATGCTACTCGTCTTTCACAGTCCATGACATAACACAACCGCATTTCGTGGTAGTTTTCCTGCCACGAAATGTTGGAATAATATTCCTTCACCTTTTAAACAGTTTTGTGCAGTCAAAATATTTAAAAACAAATAAGAAAAATATCTTTTTGATTTACTGGAGCTGATTTGAGGATTGTACTGTTTAATTTATATACAAACTTATAATTTAAATTGTATTCTCTCTCGAATTATCTGTTTTAATACTTTTTACGTAAATGTAAATTTAAATATTTAGTTAAAGTATTTCATATAAATATTTATGTATAGTAGGTAATGCGGTAGCCGCAGGATCGAACGCTTTGAAGATCTTTGGGGGAGGCCTATGCCCAGCAGTGGGCGTCTCTCGGCTGAATTGATGATGATGATGATAGTAGGTAGCATGGGTGTACCCAGGTAGGGGCAGGGGGGCAGCCACCCCCCCCCCCCCCCCCCTAGAAGATAAAATAAATGTCAGTTGTCCTGGCAAGTGAGAAGTAAAAACGTGTTACCTACTCTGCGCAAAATAAAGTGTTTGAATTAACATTGATTTAACATTTTTTTATCTCTAATTAAATATTCTACAACATTGGATATAGTATACTGTTAGCGATGCAATATAATTTAAATCTCCCGCGAAACCGTCGCATCTCGTAGTTTCCGCTCCCGACGAGACAATCAGAGCCATCTAGGATTAAAGCCGAATATAATTTGGAGAAAACAACATCTAACGCCATCTAGATACGGAATACAGTACTTTTTCCAATAAAGAGAAATAGCATCAATTTATACGGTCAATAGCGACATCTTGTATTAAATAGCGATACCACGAAGAACGTTCTACTAGCATGGACTATTCTGGAAGAGAAAGAGTGATAGCAATGGCAAGTAAGAGATAAGGATGGAAATAGAGTCGAGTATTTTTTACGTATTTCGGGAGCGAGAATATATAAGCGGGATCGTGAGTAGACTTGCCAGACCGCCGGGAAATCCGGGATTGTCCCGGAATCTTGCCTCTTGTCCCGTGTCCAGTAATTAGCGCTTATTGTCCCGGATTCTGGAAACATTATTTTTTTACAAAATAAACTAGCAACGAATGACACGGCTGCCGGTGAGCGGGTGCGGGAGACGCGCGGGCGCGGGAGGGGAGTGCGTGCAATAGTTTTACTTCCCTCGCCCTAACAGTCAAGTACTGATTGTTTTTTATAAGTTAGGAGTTTATTGTTCTAAGATTTTTTATGGTAGTATCTTATTACAATAGTTTTTTTTCTCCAGTTTATTACTATTTAATTTGTCATTTAGTATTCATTGTCTACCAAAGTTTAAAATTGGTAATTTAAGCGAAGTGCTCAATTAGTTTAACGTGTGATTTACTACCACAGTGTTTCATCTCAGAATTATAACTGGAGTTAATTATCTACTTAGTACATACCTATATCTAATAAAAGTATGTATTTGAAAATAAATGGCATTTTTCCTTTTAGATACAAATACGAAAAAATATATTCAGTTCGAATAGTATACAATTATACGTCGAAATGTATATTCGACCAATTCAATTCAGTTCGGAGTTTAATACGAGCGAATATTTCGTGCGCCATAGTGTCTTATAGTTTATTCATTTCATTTATTTTATTCTCAAGTGTGTTGAAAAACGTTGTATGATATGATACACGTGAGTTTGATGATTACCGCCCGATTTATGGCTCGGGTCACAATAGCGCCTCAGCGGTAATCACCAACGTAACTCACTTATACCATGATGTACGTTTGTTTAAGGGGGCTCTCTTGTAATGTAAGTTCTTTAGCATATTATATTACTTACAATATTTAAATTTATTAATTACAAGACGTGGTTTTGTTATAATTGTAAGAGTCATTTTGTGTATCCATTTTTTAGTAACAACACGCGAAAAAGAAAAAAACTTAGGGAAATTAGCAGTGGAAGCGATGAAAATGACAACCATGATAAAACTACTCATGTAATGCCAAGATCATTGCATGCTTACATTGGACAAGCGTCACATTCTGCAGCAGAACCTGTAAATATGTTGCCGACTATTCTTCTCCATCGACATCCCAACAAAATTAGATAGATAGATAAATTCTTTATTTGCATCATGCATACACAAAATTTTACAATTTGGATTTTACACAATATTAGAAACTAAAACAGGACAATCAAACATTATGTGTACCTACCGCAGCGATGCAAATGGGCGAAAACTCAGTGTATATTTACTCAAAGAGCAAAGCACTGATTTTCAGTTTTTACCCCAATCAAAAGTGGTCGCATTGTAAATATTAAAAAAAATTCAAGAATTCACAAAGAAATTGATAAAAGAACTACAATACTAACCAGACACTACAAAAATACCAATAAATACTTACTAACTAAAATATTTGAGAAACGTATAAGATATATAGATTAATAAAATAAATAAATAGATAATACCCATTATTAATTCGGTTCATTTGTCAAGATCATTCAGAGTCATAAAGTAATCGTTTATAATACTATTACCACCGCCATCAAGCAACTAATTGCCGGGAACTTGATTTTTTAGCAACCTAGATCTCAAATGCATTTTAAAAGTTCGTTTACATGTGATTAATCTTATAGGCGGAGGTATATTATTCCAGCATTTAGTCGCCTGATAACGGAAACTACCAGTGAAGCTCACAGTCATGTGACGATGCATCATCAAGGGAGCCCGTATATATCGCTGGACACCGGAACCGTAGTGATGATGGAAAGTGGACTGCTTTAGTTTTGAATATAGATACTCCGGGTTTTTCGACTTCATTAAATCGAACATAAGCATGGCAAGATGCAAACGCCTACGTGACTCCATATTTAACATATCCGCCTTGATTAGAAAAGGTGACACATGAGTGCGTGGGGGTATATGAAAACAGAAGCGAGCACATGCATTCTGAACACTACAACTGTGGTCCTATATAACAACTGTGACCCATATACTAGATCACCGTAGTTCAGTTTGGATAAAATAAGTGATTCACAGAGTAGGTATAATTCGTGATTTTTCCGAGAGAAAATGTCGTATCCTATACAGAACCTTTAAACGGTAGAAACAGTTTCTATTATGACGTCAACGTCGATCCTGAAATTATAGTGGACGATGGCTATCATGAAAATGATCTGGGTCGTT